AGTTCGTGATAAATTTGGTTTACATAAAGTGATTGTAGCTGTTACATCGTCAGGGAAGGTGAAACTGTTATATCAAACTTGAACGATAGATAAACTGATTTTAATTTTCGTGTGACTTATATTAACAATTTATTATTATAGCTGTACGGAATAGAGTCAACGAAAGGTGAAATAATTTAGCAATCACAAGTCTATAACATTAAAGGCTTATCTCAGGATTTTAACAAGATAGTTTTGTATGTTCAACGTGGAAGTAGGCACTTTCCGCATCCACCTCAGTGCGCATTGCTTGCAATAGGTAACGTAATTTTTAATTTTATCCGCATTTTCAATCGCGACCTTTAAAGTCGACGTAAAATTAAGAGTATTATTAATTTTGTAGACCACTGGAAATGGAATGATATACACTTTCAACCCAATAAACGGACAGCTACTGGATAGACTGACAAAGTTGAATTACCAAATCAAGCAGTCAATTTTGTTACATGCATTAACCGATATTTTTCTACGTGGTATAGTTATTTTGAATGAGCACGACCGAGCGCACGTCTTTCCAGAAAGTGCAAGCGCTGTTGCAACTTCTGCTGGACGTACTACTTACATCTTCACTGCCGACAGAAAGACTGGTGTATTGTCCGGATACTCGCTTACTTATAGCAACTCGCAGAATCTAATCGCTCACAAGTTGTGTAAAACTATTTAAAAGCTTAAAAGCTTCCACAAAGATTGTGATATATTTTTAAAATTCATTGCCTTCGTTCAGGTATGGGAATTAGTTTTCTTGTCAAAGACACAACGGATAACACATGTCGTCTCAAAAAGTTCAATCGAACGTGTTCATTCGCAGGGTCAAGTGTTGAGTGATCGGTCAGTTTTATACAAATATATCAATCCAAATCTGGTTGCTGTCGTGACTCAAGGAATAGGTGATGCTTATAAAAGTTAATTTATTACATCTATAATAAAAAGGACTTTGCGAAAACTAATTATGTTTACTCAAAATCTTGTTTAATTATTTATAGATACTCTCAATTTGTGTCTTCTTCATGTCGTACCTGGATCAATGATTTTCTCCATCGTACACAAGAGAACCAAGGGACCAGTACATATTGTTCATTCCGAAAACTGGGTTATTTATAGTTACTTTAACGATAAAAGTCAAAGAACGGAAATAGCTACGTAAAGAAACTACGGAAAGAATTGTATGAGAGAAAAACTCGAAGCAATACTACAAGTAAATTGCTTAAAATAAAAATTGTTACATCCATATCAATTCATATTTAACACTAACAATAATAATTTTATGTTGTAGTTTTCTCATCATTAACTAACACAAAGTTACCTATTGTGGAGAGGCAAGCTTTTATATTACATTTGTCAATTGATTCAATGCAAGAAACGATTACAGAGAAAGGAACTAGCAAACACATCCTAGGTGAATAATTTAATTTAATATCGAATTGTTCCATGATTTACTCTTCGATTTTAAATATTTTAACCGGAATGTTATTCATTCAGTTGCATTAACAAATGGCGGAGTGTTGAAATTTCCCTGGATATATGTAGACCCAAGAAGGCCAGTAAATCCTGAAATATAGGAAGAAGGAGCCCGAATTGCCGATACACATGGACGGCATTGTAAATTACAATCAGAGTGTTTCTAGGGTATCTGGAATTCATACTACTCCTATTGGTCTTGAAAGCGCATGTTTAGCACATGTATAAGTAATGGAAAAAATAGTTTTAGTTTATGAGTGGTATCGAAACATTGTTTATTAATAATTTGAATCAAAAAACCATTTTATTTACTTATTTGCTTACATCTTTGTTTCTAATTGTCGTATCGAAATAAGACTTACAATATGAGATTTCTGTTAACATTTTTTACTTGGTTCAATATCTTTCAAAATTAAATTAATTCATTTTAACAACAATAATTTTCATTGTTTGCAGAAATGTTAAAAATTATAAATGATTATATGTACTAGTCTTCTTTATACAGTATATAACCATTATCACAACCATATTCATTTATCCAGTATATAACCGTTTATCATTTTTAATATTTCTGCAAACAATGCAAGATATTGTTGTTAAAATAAATTAATTTAATTTTAATAAATATCAATCCTTGTGTTAAATTTTATCATAAATCTAATGCCGCAAGGCTTATCTCGATAAGATAACTAGAAAAAAAGATATAAACAAATACTAAATAAGTACTGCTTTTTCATTAAAATTATTAATAAACATTGTTCTGATACCTCTCATAAATCAAGACTATTTTTCTTATTATTTACGCGTTCTTCCTCGACGAAAGTAAAAATAACGGGGTGTTCGGAAAAATATATATTTTATTATTTTTTCGGACACCGTAATGACTGGACTATATATATGTATTATTTATATTGATATTATTTATTATATTATCCCTAAAAATAAAGATATAAATTATTTTAATATTTTAATAATTTAAATGTTCATAAAAAATAAAAAATAATAAATAAAATTTTCAAAATATGTATTTTTATTTAAAAACCATTAATAATAATAATAATAATAATATAATAATAATAATATACAGCATAAATTTTTTTCAAAATGCCGTCACAATGCGTGCATTCTGCAAGCATTTCGTGCAGCAGAACGGGAAGGCATAATGTCGGCATAATTCCCGCACGCCGTGCCAAACGATGGTTACCATGCGTGCTGTCACAATGCAGGCACAATGAGCGCACGGCGTGGAAGGCACGGCGTGCTTTCAGAACGACGTTAGAATGCGGATACACTTGGACGTCCCGTGCCGGCGCATTCTGACGGCATAGTGCCGGCACTGTGTTATCTGGGTTTTGTGATCATGGCAGAAAAATGGTGAATTTTCTTAAAAAATTTTAAGTAAATAGCTTTATGTCTATTTGGACTATTCAAAATTATCTAAATTTTCTTTTCTATACCCCTCCAAATTCCAAATCCAAAATTATATTAAAGTTATAAGAGCTGCATTAATAGGAATGGGTTATTTTCTGAAATAACTCATTCCTATTAATACAGCTATTAATACCTATTAATACAGCTGTATTAATTAATAGAAATGGGTTATTTCAGAAAATAACCCATTCCTACTAATAAATGAAATTGCGCAGAGTTATAAATAACTTTTGCTATCTGTTAACCACGCGCAGCTTTTCTGTAATTCCTTTATTACAGTTGTATTAATTAATAGAAATGGGTTACTTTCGAAAATAACCCATTCCTATTAATGAGAGCAGCATTAATAGGAATGGGTTATTTTCTGAAATAACCCATTCTTTGATAGGAATGAGTTATTTCCCATTCCTATAAATGCAGCTCTTATAACTTCAATATAATTTTGGATTTGGAATTTGGAGGGGTACAGAAAAGAAAATTTAGATAATTTTGAATAGTTCAAATAGACATAAAGCAATTTACTTAAAATTTTTTAAGAAAATTCACCATTTTTCTGCCAGGATCACAAAATTTTTATTTAATTAAATTTATTTAATCTTTTTTTTCCCTATTTTCAGAGAGGGTACAAATTCTAAAACAGCATTTTTCTGATGGTACAAATTAAAATGAAACTAGTGGTATTTTTTTCTTTTATGATATCAATCATTTTTCTGCCAGGAGTATGAGTTTTCCGCAATATCGTTTTTTTCACTTTTTTTCAAAATTTTGGGGGGGTACAAATTCTAATAAGTGAATTTTCGGGTGGTACAAATTAAGACGAAGCTAATGGTATATATATATATTTTTTTTAAATCAATCATTTTTCTGCCAGGGTCGTTTCGATGTCAGATTCACAAGTCTTTATATATACATTAATTCACAACCCGTGTAAGTTCAAAATCCGAATTACTTTTGAGCTTATATTATTTTGGCAAGTGTACCCCCACAATTTACGAGAAAAAAATCATTAATTGATAATACCATCGATGCTGAATCCTCGAAAATAATTTGGTCTTTGAATTTCGCGAATGGTGAATTAATAAGTCCGGATAATGTCTATATAATTATTAATATCTCCAGCAGAATTACCAATATTTTGTTTACTATTTTTGTTTATTCTTGTTATTGTTTTGATTTACTTTTTAAGAAAATGCTAGGCGAAATTTGAAAAGACAATAAGGTAAATTGTATTTTAATAGCTTCATATTTTAATAACTAAATAAAAACATTCTCTATCATTGTTTTTCGTTGCAAGCTAAAATATTCAAATATCTTCTATTTTTCGACTTATTTAAATATTGAAAATGTTTGAAAAAAAGCAAATAATTATAATTAGTATAAACGACCAAAATTCATCGGTATTATATTTTTTAGTTTTATCAATTCCGTAAAAATAACACTAACGCTTATGCAAATAATAATAACGGTACATGATTTTTGGCAGTTAAATACATAGTTCATGAACAGCGAACGTTTTCAGGTCTGAGGTCGCTGCGTTAGCAATCTGATCTATTTATGCGCTTCTGTGTGTGCGCACGCGCGGGTGTCTGTGTGTGTGTGTGTGTGTGTGTGTGTGTGTGTATATATATATAAGCATATGTAGAGAGGGAACATTTGAAAACAACGTCAAATCAATACAAATATGAATTGAAATGTTGATTGAAAAATGTGAATAAGTTTGTACGAAATAGAATGTTATTTTTAGTCTTTATTGACATAATAACCTCAAATAAATGAATAATAACTTCTTAATCGTTGAAACATAAATAAAATTATAAAAATAAAAAATTTGTTTATTTTCTTACCTAAAGTTAATATATCTAAATATATTTCATACAATTATATTTACATTTGAATTAATATTTCAATTTATATTTACATGTATATTTGACGTTTTCTTTTCAAATATTCTCTCCCTTAATAAATATAATATTATGTAGGTAAAAAATTACTTAGCAGCCGCCCTGAAAACGTTCGCTGTTGAATTTTTGTGTCACGATATTGCCTCGGTGCTCGATCGACAAACGACGAATTTCTGCTGCTGCCGTCGTCGCCGCCACAACACAGTGGTCATCACATATATAATACATATACATTTCTCATCGTTCACCGCCGTTACTTATCCGCTGCTGCTGCCGAAATGTGGTTGCAGCTCTGAAAAAACTCATCGTCCGTGCACGAGGTAGAGTTTCAGAAACAACGAGGGTATCATCACAATGACGGAGAAGAAAGCCAAAAGACTGTCTACCGAGTTTGATGGCAAACAATCGGACGACGATAGCCAGCGAAGTAACTACGGTGACTGGGTTTGCACCGACACCGAGTACGTTCGATTTTCTTTTGTGTTTGCTCTCTCGTGACTGCATGCATTACTACTTTGCACCTCTGAACAACTTTTCGGGAATGAATATGCTTTACCCTTAAGAAGACTAGATAACAACCCCCAAAGTCAAAGAAGAATTCCTGATTTTCCGCATTGCAGTTCTCGCGACATTATTGATAGGTTAATTACTCGGCAACATTAAGCGACAAAGAGAGAGAGAGAGAGAGAGAGAGAGAGAGAGAGAGAGAGAGAGAGAGAGAGAGAGAGAGAGAGAGAGAGAGAGAGAGAGAAAGAGAAAGAAAGCGAAAAATAGTAGATTATATTTTAATTAATTTTTTAACTCGTATTCTTTCTTTTATCATATAATAATAATTGGTTCTTCATTTGTACTAAGAAGTTTTTATACACTTTCAGTTGCGCAAATGTGAACTTTGCTAAGCGCAGTTCCTGCAATCGTTGTGGGAAAGGTAAAAAAAGCATATTTATTAAGACAAATATTTATGCTGATATCTTTGGCAATCAAAAAGAATCATTTCTTTTATTCATTCTCAGAACGAGGAGAATGTCCTAAAAAGAAAAAACTTGGCCAGGAAATTGGCAAAGCTGCTGCTGAAAAGAGCCGAGGCTTGTTCAGGTGAGTTTTATATTGTCAATTTATAAATAAAAATATTATTTTTCAATTGAGTGAGGGTATTGTATCACAATTACATTACTCCATATCTACAAACATAAATGTAATGCAAATCAGTACAGGTACTGTTAAATGTGAATACATTGAATTATATTAATTTTAATCTGACCTGTGTAAAACTAACATCAGCAAAGATATACTGTAATTTATTACTTTTAGTGCTGATGACTGGCAATGTAGTAAATGTGGCAATGTCAACTGGGCACGCAGACAGCAATGTAATATGTGTAATGCACCCAAGTTTGGAGAAGTTGAGGAAAGAACAGGATATGGAGGTGGATACAATGACAGAGGAGTAGTTGAATATAAAGAGCGTAAAGATGACGATGACGATGACTTTGACGAGTTTGGCAGGCGGAAGAAGAAGCGAAGAGTAGAGAGTCGCTCTGATGATGATTCCAAAGATTCATCAAAATACAGTAGTCCACCACGTAGCCGGTCTAAAAGGGATCAATCTGAAAAAGAAGATGAGGAAGACGAGCAAGAGGAGGAAGAGGAACAAGAAGAGGCCGAGAAAGAGGTAATTTATAAAAATTTTTTTATTAATCTCGTACGAATTTAACATGAGTTTTTTACAATAGAGAGAAGATGAGGAGGACGAAGATGAAGACGAAGATGGCGATCTATCAAAGTATGATCTGAGTGAGTGGGATGACTTAACACCAGCCAAAAAGGAGTAAGCACCTATGTATAACTTGTTAAAATAACATGATAAAAACATTTTTTACATAATATTAACATAATCTCTTATATCTTTAGCTCAAATGGCGTTGCTGGTTCTTCGGAAGAACGTCAGTCTAGGTAATAAATTTGTTTTGATGGACTTTAATGTGTGACGATTCTTGCAGATAAAAAGATATAAAAAACTAATTTACAATTTTTCAGATGAGATTAATGCTCGTAACTCTTATCAGCCTGTCGTGAGAGATTGACGAGAGAAGTAATTCTTCTAGTAATCAATCGCCCAATTGCGTACATTATTATATTCTCGCAAGCAATGCCAGTTCCAAGTCTTTTTGTAGATCGAATATTTCATCGTAAAATATCTATGTGAATTCAAGTTCAATAATTGATAAACGTAATATTAATTTAATTGAAAATAATCGAGAATATTTTGCAAATACAAATTTATATATCACTTCAATGACTGTCTACGTTTTACGCGTCGCACTTCGTGATGAATAACAAAGCAAAAAAATCTCATTTCTCATGTTCAATTTTTCATGATAGAAATAACTAGGTAATCGATGTGCTACTTGTGTCTCATAAAGAAAGGTTCTTTCAAACTTGCTAATCGGCAAAATGTAAATAGTATTATAACGTTCGGCGCTTATTGATGTTCGATTAATTTGATAATTGAGTAAAGAGTAAACAATCAAAGAAATTTAAAGAAAAAATGGATTTAAAAAAACGTAGGCAAATATAAAATGTAATAAAATGAATAGAGGCAGGTAACAGTGAAGAGCGCCTGTTAATTCTTTCGCTCGCTATTCTCATAACTGAGTCTTCTTTCTTGTAAATATCTTTATTTTATTTTTCATTTATAATAAAAATCATTCGTCAACAACGTAATTGTCCTTAGTCAATTATATCTTCTTATATATAATGTTACACACTACAATGAATGAGGTGTGTCAGCATTTATGTGTGGCGTCGATTCGTGAATTTATATATATATGTCTGTGAGTGTTGCGTTATCGCGTGAAAAAAAGGAAGGGTCAATCTTTAACGGCTTTTCGTTTCATGATTATGCACAGAGTTGTCATGAATGGAGTGGACTTCTTTATATTTTAATGGGTTTATAGAGGCGGACACGATATCGTAGGATTTAATGTGGTTTGGATACACATGTGTATGTATATATATAATATGTATATATCGTATATATGTACATTCGTATTTTGAGCTTTTTTTATCTCTCGTTTAAGTATTTCAACGTCAAAAGAAGGACTCGACGGAGGCTCGTCGTGGGTTCTCTCTTTTCTTCTCTTTCTTTCGCAAACACGAAACTTCATCGCCAACGACGTTCCGCATTCTTATAGCCCGTTTACACTATGTATACATCACGCAGAAAATAGAGAAACAGATAAGTATTCTGAATCACCGTGAGTCGAGGGCTCTCCTGTGTGTGCCTGAACTCTTGAATTTGAGTATTAAAATATCACGAATTTATGACAGAGCTTTTTGTTTTTCAACTCTTTCTCCAGAAAATACAAATCAAGAAACAAATTCCATTGTTTGACGAGCATGCATGAGCTTATGCGTCGATTGCAAAAGCCCAAATTTTGTCTTAAACTCTATAATATATATGTACAGGTGCGCCGTATCGTCGATCTCTCTCGCAATACAGTTAACTCTGAATTTACAAATTTTTTTTTCTTATTTATTCTCTCACTCATTCGTACAACCTCATTCTCACGTTGAACGCAGCGCAACTAAAACAAACTTTCACACAAGACTTTTTCTCTGTGCAAGAACTCAGCTTTTGTTGTAATAGTTGTAGTTGTAGTTGTAGATGTAATTGTAGTTGTAGATGTAGATGTAGTTGTAGTAGCAGTAACAATAACAGTAGTAGCAGTAGCAGTAGCAGTAGCAGTAGCAGTAGCAGTAGTAGTAGCAGTAGCAGTAGCAGTAGCAGTAGCAGTAGCAGTAGTAGTAGCAGTAGCAGTAGCAGTAGTAGTAGTAGTAGCAGTAGTAGCAGTAGTAGTAGTAGTAGTAGTAGTAGTAGTAGTAGTAGTAGTAGTAGTAGTGGTAGTGGTAGTGGCAGTGGCAGTGGCAGTGGCAGTGGCAGTGGCAGTGGCAGTGGCAGTGGCAGTGGCAGTGGCAGTGGCAGTAGCAGTAGCAGTAGCAGTAGCAGTAGCAGTAGCAGTAGCAGTAGCAGTAGCAGTAGCAGTAGCAGTAGTAGTGGTAGTAGTAGTAGCAGTAGCAGTAGCAGTAGCAGTGTCAGTAGTTGTAGTAGTAGTTGATGTAGTTGTTGCTGTTGTTGCTTGTTTTGACTAACACATACTTGACCGAAGCACCTCAATGTTTTTGTTTGTTTAAAAACGTTTTAAAAAAAATTGAGCTCGATAAAAGGTACAAACAGTGGCGTATCGCGCGGTTTCCGCTAAAAAAAGGGAAATAAGATAAAAATAAGAAAGGCGATAATCGACGCGGGAGAGAATCTCTGTTGTTTGCCCCCTCGACTCGTGATTGCTTTGCTTGCTTTTGCGCGAGTACAAAAAATTCAGTAGACGAATCTATAACGATACGGAGCAATTCCGTCTTACTTATTAGGCATGAAGAACTGTTGATGGGCGTTGGGCTGCATACCGGGATGACCTTGAGGTGGCCCACTGCCCCTACTGTTTGTCGCGTACAGTTGCTGCTGGAAGTGATGGAACTGCTGGGCGTAGTTAGGATCCGACATGCTTGGTCCCGATCCAACGAACGGCCCGGACTTGAAATTACCCCCGGCACCTCCCATGCTAGGCGGCAGTGGCTGTGTCGCGTCAGGAGGATGTGGGCCCAGTTGGCTCATGGCATTCGACTGCTTCTGCCCAGGTGCTGCAGGCCCGTAGGTATTCTGCGGCGGACCGAGCGCGCTTGGTGGCACCATGTCGGACGAGAACACCTTGTCCGGGTCCATGGGACTGCCAGGAAACATGCCACCGCCACCCATATGCTGCATGCGGATGTTGGCCGGCTGCCTACCCACTGGCCCAGGCGGCCTCATGTTTGGATGCATAGGCTGTCCGGGCGGTCCGTTACCCGGCATACCCGGTCCCATACTGCCGTGCTGCGTAGGACCCTGAGGCCCCATGTTGTTAGGCATGCAGCCGTTGGGGAAATATTGCAGGTTGACCGACGGTGGGTTGATCTTGTTAGGATCCGACATGCCGGGGCTGGCGAAGCGCTGCAGGAACTCGAGACTCGGAGGACCGCGAGGCGCGTGGCCGACGTTCGGCCTGGCTGGTAAGTACTGTATGGTGTTAGGTGCGTTCGGTTTGACTTGCACGTTGGCGCCGTTGTACGGGCTGGGCCCGCCGTGCATGTGCTGGGGTGGCATGCCGTGGCGCGACTGCGGTCCGCCGTCGGGTCCTCCCATCATCCCAGGACCAGGCCCCGACGGGTAGCCACCCGACTGCGAGACATTGATGTTTGGATTGCTAGGGCCTTGGGGACCAGGGCCCGGTCCCATCATCCCGCTGTGCTGCATCATTGGATGATGCTGCTGGGAGCCTATTTTTCCCGACATGCCTGGACTACCCGTGTGCGGCGTCGGACTATAACTGGTCGCCGGACCACCGAGACCCATACAAATACTCGTGACATCGCCAGGTTCGCTCGTCGGGCCACCAGGGCCGCCGGTCATGTGACAACCGCCGTTCATCTCGTTAACCTGCTGCTGTTGCTGCTGCTGTTGCTGTTGCATCTGCATCATGTGTACATTGTGAGGGTTATTAAAAGACATCATGCCTGCTGGATTGCCCGAGTGCATCGACGAGTTGTCGTTTCCTAACGCGTTGTTCGCAGCGGTGTTTGTCAGTTGCTGGCTCATTTGGGCAAGCGACGTGATGGGATCGAAACTGTTGCTCGACATCGATCCAAGGCCACCTATTCTGTTGTTCATGTTGTTGGGATTCAATGGGATATTGTCGTTTGTTTGACTCGTCGTCGGTCGCCCACAGCCAAAGGGATTGCCATTGCCCCCAGGACCAACCATCGGAGTCATCATACCACCCGGTCCAATTCCAGGATTCAGCGATTGCTGTTGTTGCTGTTGCGATGGCGGTGGCGGCTGCTGCTGCTGTTGGTCTTTCGACGTTGGAGATGTCTCGGATTTGGTGTTCGGCGTACGAGGTGGTCCCATATTAATGTCCGCGAGTGAAGCGTTATGCGAGGCAGGACTGCTTTGTGCGCTTGTCGTTTTGTTGTGCTGTTTTGCAGGGTCGACTGGTGTGTGAGGTGCCACACTTCCCGGCGTGTGCGGCGTATGTGGTGTGTGTGGACTGTGTAACGTCCCACCAAAACCTCTATTTGAGCTGTCCATCGATGGGCTCGCACCCTCCGATCGCGGACCATACTGGTTATTACTCGTGTTGTCGTTACCACCGCCGCTATTGCTCATCGCGCCCGGCAACATGCGATTCGTCATGTCCGGATTGTTATTGCCTTGATTATTCCTGCGAGTAATCACGAGACGATATCATTAATTCAGTAATATATTTGATGTTTTGAAAAACATTATAATACGTACGCTGGTAAGCTGCCGTCTTTTAAACTCGTATTCGGCTGCTTCTGAATTGTAAGCTCTTGCCCGTCGAAGGTATTGAGGTACGATATTTGTTGCGGACTCGGAACAGGCATGAGCTCTTTGACAACTTGACCACCAGGACCCATTTGCTGTTTCTGTTGCGCCATCGACGGTAACGATCGACAAAACATTGCATCAACTGGAAAATAATATTTTACTATAGCAACGAATAGGCTACTAGATAGATCATTCACGCTGGAAACTGTTACAATAGTAATCATTTTAAATAAACTTCGAAGATTTGATTTGTTAATGCGATTCTACATGGTTATTTTTAAAAAAGACTGATAGGATAATTGAACTTTTCTTTACGCTTAATTAAACACTTGAACAGAAAAAATTAGTTCTTATCACACGAAACTTATCCGTTAATGTCAGGCTCATTCTTTTTAAGTAAACAAAGGTTGCTCAACTCTAACTATGTTTAAGTTCTTTTGAACAAAGTATTAAAAGGAAAGCAAAGGTAAGAGATCATACCATTAGGTGGTTGACTGTTTGGAAAATCGAGTGACGCCAAATCCTTTTGCGGCGTTCCACTAGGACTCATCGCGCCTAGATGATTTTGCGACATAGGAGTACCAGGATTGCTGTGATTCAGTCTGTTGGCGTTCGCCGCCGCCGCCGCGGCTGTAGCCGGCGAATCCTGGCTTGTTGGACTCTGTCCAGGCAATTGACCTCTTTGATTGGTGCCCAGTTGAAATTGACGATTGCAATCAGCCGGCGAGTTGAGGGCAGAACTTGCTCTCGGGGACGGTAGCGACAAATTGCTCGTTGGATTATTTGGCGACGATGGATTCGGCGACTGGATAGCGATCGGCACCGATGCCGACCTTGTCGTTTGATGATACGGAGGTGGAGGACCTTGACTTCGTGGTGGTGGTCCATTGCTTCCAGAACCTGGGGGTAGCGCACCTGGTCCACCAGGTAATTGACCACCTGGACCACGGACTGGCACACCTGGACTATTCACACCGACCTGTAAAAGACGTTCATCAAAGTTATTTCCTCTTTCATATGCAATTCTACTTTAATGCCAATAAAGTAAAGCGGAATAGCGATACGTACCTTATTTTTCCCATCGAATAGTGAATGCTGCATTTTGTGCCAGTCCATCGGGCCGCACTGATTGGGAGCGTTTACTGGTGGAAGACTACCGGAAGGACCAAGTTGCCCTTGGGCACCGATTTGCGTCGGATCCATAGGACCGACAGCGGTAGGATCCGTTTGTTCACGAAAGAGCATCTGGCGCATTTTCGCAATTGTCGCCAGCTGTTCATTTCGATGCTGCTGCTGTTGCGGGGTGAGATTTTCATCGGGTATCTTTACACCCTGTAACGACGGCTGCACCCCTCCAGAGCCCGGACTGGTTGGATTGCCCATCATATTTGGACTATGACCTATCGCTGGGCCACCAATCGCTTGGGGATTCGCTAAACACCAATACATTCCTCAATCTTAATTACCACTATTATTCAGCAAAATTTGAAAAAAGTTCTGCAAATTTACCTGCATTATTAGGTGAGGTGGGCACAAGGCAAGGCACATTAATATTTGTATCATCTAATGAGGAGTCGGGGTTTCCCAATGGATTACTGCCGTTTAAGTTACGCATGTTTGGCTGTTCGTTCCAGAAAGGATCATTAGGATCTAGCGGAGGAATATCAGGAGGCTGTTCACTGGGAAATCCCATATTCGGACTGTGTTGAAGACCTTTCTGTTTCATTGCACCAATGTTATTCATCCACTGCGGTGGATTTTGTCGGAAGTGCGACGTTTTGCTTGGAAATTTCTATAATTGATCAATATATCAATTGAATTTTTCACGAGCTGCATACTTATATGATTGTATCTAATGAATAATTTCAAACCTCTAGAAACTTTTTTGTACTTGGTTGAGCCATATGATAAGCAATAATTGTTGGATAGTGACCCTGCAAGACAGCTTCTGCTCCCTTATTAGCCATTTGTGTCGTAAAAACAAATATTTGGCTCTGTTGCTGCATGTATTGAGCTTCACCTGCATTTGCAGCAGCTATCTGCTTTACCATTGCACTACCAATCATTGGTGGCATTCCGTCAATGGGCATAACGACATTTGCTCCACATTCTAAAAGAAAAAAGTAAAACGCTATTAAGAGACATTTAATGTTTATTAATTGCATTCCTGTATCTAAATACTCCCACTTAACCACACCAAATGAAACGTTAGTTGTAGAGTACAAGTTTGATCAGATTGGTTGTATTTACTTCACACTTATAAAGATATTGTTGAACAGATGCCAAAAATATAACCAATGGAGAAAAATCATCTAGTTGATAGATTCTATAAAAAGTGCATTTTTATACAATTTGCTAGAGCAAGAGAGTGAGTAAGTGATATACGTACTAATTGACGAGTTTTTAAGTGTCGAATTTTATTAGTAATTGAAAATAAGAATGGACAAGAAGCATGCGATCCAAAGGAGTCTTACAATGGCATAATCAGGCTTACAACGATGAAACGTAAACAACTCACCAGAAGGCATCTCTTCCACATTACCACCAATGGAATCTTGTTCTTGTTTGCCAGAATTGAGAAGAGCTTGATTACCAGATTGGCCATTCTGATTGTCAGGAGGTATCGTGGGATCAGCAGTGCTCACAGCCACCTCGAGCCCAGCATCTTTGAGCGCAGCCTCAGCAGGATCGTCGTTGATGGGTTCATCATTAAGATTGTCATTACCAGTTGCTGGTGTGTCTTCCTTGATTTTGATCCTCGCCTCAGCATTATCAGCGTCTTCCTTGACTGACGCCGGAGGCACGCAGCTCGGCTCGCTAGACTTCTTCTCGGTCTTCATACTTGCTTATTTTCTGACGAGGCTTACGAGGTTTTGAATAAAGCGAGGCTAGGTCGTGGGCAGACCCTGATCACCACGCCGAGGCCTCATGAGCAGCGGCGCTACTGCCGCCGCCCGGCGACGACGACCTCGGCGACGATGATGACGACGAGGGTAAGGCGCGTTCAGGACGCTCGCGGAGCCACAAAATCTTCGCCTCCTGTCTCACTTGCTCTGGTTCTGGCTCTTTCCGTCTCTCTCTCTCACTCGTGCTGCTCGAATTGCTGCTGCCCTTTCGCCGCGCCAAAATAAAAAGAACAACACAGAGACGAGAGCGCACGGCGGATGTTGCGAGCTCTCGGCACTCTCGCACAGTCTCTCTCTCGGCGTCTTCGCGGGCTTCGTAGGACGTGTTTTTTTTCTCTTCGTCAAACTTAGGATGGCACTGTGCGTATCCTCGTGTTCTCTGGGGCTACTGCTGCTCGTAAGATAATCGCCCTCTCTCTCTCTCTCTCTCTCTCTCTCTCTCTCTCTCTCTCTTTCTCGTTTTCGTTGCTCTCTCAAGCAAGCAGCAGCAGTTTTCTCGCACTATGCGCGGTGATGATGTGTGTGTGTGTGCGTGTGTTAGTGCGTGCACCAGGTCGCCTCAGAGAGCGCGCACACATACACTTGCGCTTGTCGCGGCAGCTTCGCGAAACTCACGACTTTTGCTCGTGTGTACGTGTAATATGCGCGCGGTCTGTGTGTGTGAACGTCTCCTGTCCCCAGCCGTGGGAACACACACTCTCTCTCTCTCTCTCTTTCTCTCTGACGCGAGAAAACGACGAGACACTTACACAGCCATGGATACACGCACACTGACCCAAGCGCGCAGCACACTGTGTGTAATTCTTGCTTTTGCACGCCGCCGTTGTCTTTCTCTCTCTGTCTCCCTCTCTCGGCAGCTCTCTGCTTGGAATGCCGAAAGACCGTCAGTAAACCACTGTCGTGCTGGTCAACAATCTTCACAGCTAACGCACACCAGCCCGCGCCTAGCTGCTACTGCTTCTATTGCTCCTTTTTCATTTGGGCATATAAGCGATCTTTCTCGCCGAGCGCCTCTTCGCCGCTCTCTCTCTCTCTCTCTTTCTCTCTCTCTCTCACTCTCTCTGTCTCTCTCTCTCTCTTAAAGAGTCTCTCGTCTCGCTCCCCCTCTCATGCATCAGAAATTGGGATTATCATTGTTACAAAGCGCGTGTAGCTAATTTACAGCGGTGCCGCGCGCGAGTATCGCAAGTATTGGAAATATCGCGCGGCTCATTCATCGTCACGGCCTGTGAACGAACCAAGTCGTGATGTTTGAAGAATGATAAATTTAGAAAGGCCCGCGCGCGCGGACGCACGTATACATGTATGCCACACATAATGTTTATGATACGATATCGGCAGAGCGGCGCGTGTAATTATGTAATTGTCACGGAGCGTTTATGTATATCTGCCGAAAAAGAAAATTGTGTGCGCACAACGAATGTAAATTGGGTTCGAGGATATTAGCTGCGGTTAATATTCGTGGCTCGAACGCGCACTGATGAGTATAATTGAATCAGGCGACAACTTGACAACAGCCGATTAGTACGAATTGAATTTTTCGCGAGTAATTACTCTGTCGAGTCGAGTGTATCTGGCATAGCCTTGAAGAGTTATCGCGCAATTGTTATCGATCTTGGAAGAAGTTGGATTGGTGGCAATGTTTTAATGTCTCTTGGGATTGCCGCGGTAGTCGCATGTTTGAAAGTAGCACGGCGTAGGCAGAACTTTCGGTCAAGTTATGAAAATGTATTTCTTGGCTGGCCGACATAAACCGAGAGGCCGCATCGGCTACATTATTACGCGCCCGAATGGCCTATTAGAAATTGGAACTGCACCTAAATATACCGTGTTTGAGCTGATACTCGAGACTCGCGCATTTTATTTTTGATGATGCTGTATAATGGAACGTCGATATATCTGCGAGGACGCGTGTTGAATTGTTGGAACGTCGAACGGTGCTTGTTCTTCGGAAGAAAGCTGAAAGGCGCGGACCGTCGGCGATCCATAGGAATGTTATCGTGAAATCGAGCGAGAGACGATAAAAAAGCGACAAGTCGAAAGCTCGCACGCGCGCGCGCGACAGTTGTCATCGCTGTTGGAGGCAATAACGCGCGCTCGCGAGGGAAAGCCATTGCCGACGCCCGAGGAGGAATTTCAATTGGATGCCGTCTGCGGCGATACGGGGCCTCGCGCGAGCTCGAGAAAGAGGAGGAGCCGGTATTTCGGAGAGCGAGCACCTGCTGTAGGCGCGATGCGACCGCCTCGAGTCGCCAATCGCTTGCGCGATTGTGCGAAAGCTGCGCGTGATTGCGGGAGCAAAACTTTAAGTATGGTTATTTTTATCAAGGAAAGCACCCTGGCAACTTGCAAGTTTTGCCACAATCCGAATCGGCGCAAGTGTCGTAGACTAGCTGTCACGAGCGATGGGTTTATCAGCTGCGTTTGATCGTTGCCAATAGTGGTCGCAGCCTAGGGCCATTGCTCTCCCCGATATATCTCTGGGGATCAACTCGCCAATCGATACGATAGTGGGCAAACGCAAGCTCGACCTCCTATCGGCCGAAGCTTTGGCTTTCTGTCTCGTCGTATTACGCCACGCCTTGGATCGCTCGAGCTCCAGAGCTATTACTCGCGAGCGTCGAACGACCATTGCCTCGATCGTCGCAGCTCTTCTATTGCAATCAGGTGCAACCAAGAAATTCTTCCTCAATGCTATTTCGTTGCTCGCGACATCTCTCGGTGTCGCCGTTCTCCGTTACCTTATACACTATCGCGTTCGCTTCCTCGGGCTGAGGCTACCAGTCTGACCAATAACCCAAATCGATCGACCGTTCGGCGATCCAATAATAGCTAAACCATCTCTTTAGTCAGCTTTCACAGTCGAGCTTTTGCAGAAGCCTCATAACTAGTTACCATATTGTCAATTTCTGATGAATTTATGCAGAAATTATTGCATCTTTGCCTGATGCTATTTACAAATAATTTTAATAAAGGCAGACAGGATAATTAAAATAGAGATAAGTTTGAATTGGCGACTTGGTCTGCAATCAGGAGTAAAACATTTTCTATACGAAAATAACGAAATAGCTGTTACGACAAGTTCAGCGTCGAACACGGATTCAGCCCGTCGTGCTCGCCGCGCTTGTACAAGGTGTTTCGCCCGAACCAACCCAACGTACGCTTTAATGCAAAATAAAAGATTGCGTACGATTGTGAGTGATCTTGATGTTTCGAGCGTACTGTATCACTATCTATCCTTTGCACGACTGAAATAAATACGGGATCGGCAAATTGCCGCCAAGCAGGCTTGGTCAAATTCAAAAGTTTAGGCGACGAGAGCGCCTACATGCGGCCTCTGCCTGATGGCACCTTGGCGGTAGGTGAGTCAAGGCGGTTGTGCCGCGGCAATTGTTGACTGAGCAGCCTAGCAAGAAGGTCAGCAAGTCATGGAGGAAGAGTTGACAGGAGAGGACTCGGCGTCGAAGACTCCGCAACGGGAAGGCACCAACAGGTAGGCAGCTTCGAAATTCAGCTGAAAAAACGAACCGCGAACGCTGGACGAAAATCCAGCGTAATCGCCGTCGACTGGAAACGGAGCCTCTCTCGAGAAACCAAAACAGACGCCAGCTCTCTCGGACAAAGCGTAAACAAAGCGTCGGTCAGTCCGCAAATGGTTCGCTACGGTTCTCTCGCGCGACAAACAAACAATTGGCTGCTCGTTGCGACCGACGCCTGAACGTATCGTCGAAATCCAGCCGCAGCGAGCAGCCGCTGGCCTTGGCCACGGACGCGGTGTCGCTGCCGAGCTACGCCGAGGAGCCGTACGTCTCGGAGCTGACGGTACTGCTGATGAAGTCGAGCCAGGAGTCCGGGGCGACGTCGCAGTGCACCCGACGTCGCCAGCGCAGCGCCCCCGGCAGCCTCGACGACGAGCCCGAACTGATCCGCGACACGCTGCCCGGCAGCTCCAGCGACGGCGACGTCGCCGGCATGGCGCTGTCGTCCGAGCTGCTGGCCGGGCTCGAGCAGTGGAGGTTCGACGACTCGGAGCGCGAGCAGGACAACAAGGAGTGGTGAGCCTCACGAGCCCCTTCCGTCGAGCGAGACCCGGGCAAGCCTCGCTGATCATTCGAGCGCGCCGCTCGCGCTGGCGCTGACGTTTGCAGTCCCGTGGAGCTGGACAGCGGCGATCCGGTGCTGGCGGAGCGGGAGCCCGTGGCGCTCAAGGCGCCCGAGGCGTCCGACCGCCCGCTCGCACCGTCGAGCGACGAGGAGGAGGAGGAGGAGCAGCAGCAGCAGCAGCAGCAGCAGCAGCAGCAGCAGCAGCAGCAGCAGTCGTCGCAGGTGATGCTGCTGGCGAAGAAGGAGCTGGCGGGCGCGGCCGAGGACGAGGACAGCTCGGAGCCGCTGCGCAACATGTCGCTCGTCGAGGCGGCGGCGGCGAGGCCCTCCACCACGGAGCGCGCGATAAAAGGTAGGCGTCGCTCGCGCCCGTCGCGGCCGACGCTCAAGCCGCCTCTCCTCTTGCAGACGTGCCCTGCCCGCCGGCGCACAGGCTGCGGCTCGAAGAGGCGTTCGACGAGGCGACGGGCCTGCCGCGCCTCGGGCCGCTCAGGGAACACCTGCGGCGCGAGGGCCTGCTCAGCGTGGACGCGGCGCTGCGCATCGTCGACGCTGGCGCGGCCGTGCTGCGAGCCGAGCCCAACGTTGTCAGGATCGCCGCGCCGGTGACGGGTAGGTAGGCGCGCCGCGCGACGAGCGCCGTTCCGCGGCCATGCTCACGAGTACTGTCGCCTCTGTCGCAGTGTGCGGGGACGTGCACGGCCAGTTCTACGACTTGCTGAACCTGTTCGAGATCGGCGGCGACCCCTGCGAGACTAACTACCTGTTCCTGGGCGACTACGTGGACCGGGGCTGCTTCGGCATCGAGGTGAGCGATCGCTCGTCGGCCGGCTCCGCCCGAAGCACAGTGCCTGCTGCTGCTTTCAGATCGTGCTCTACCTGTGGAGCCTGAAAGTCAACTACCCGGCGAGCTTCCACCTGCTGCGCGGCAACCACGAGTGTCGTCACGTCACCGAAGCCTTCACCTTCAGGCAGGAGTGTAAGCACGCACGAGTGGGCGCGTGGGCGAGCGGGCGAGTTTCACCTACCGAGACTCTTTCAGGTCACACCAAGTACAGCGCCGAGGTGTACGAGGCCTGCATGCGGGCCTTCGACTGCTTGCCGCTGGCGGCTGTGCTCGACAAGCAGTTCTTCTGCGTGCACGGGGGCTTGTCGCCGACGGTATTCCGCGTCGAAGACGTGAACTTGGCACGTGAGCGTAGCGCTTGGCCGCCGGGCGACGGCCAAAGTAACGCGGCGGTCATTGCTGTTTCAGATCGACAGGTTCAAGGAGCCACCCTCGCACGGACCCCTTTGCGACTTGCTCTGGTCGGATCCGTGCGAGGACTACGGCAGCGAGAGCAAGAAGCAGCACTTCTCTCACAACACGGTCCGGGGCTGCTCGTATTTCTACAGGTGAGGCTGGGCGGAGCGAGGCTGGGCGGAGCGAGGCTGGGCGCGCGCTCGCTCCAACCGGATCGTAAACCTCTGCTCTTCGCGCTTTCAGCTACGAGGCCGTGTGCAAGTTCTTGGACAGGAATCATCTGCTGGGCGTGATACGAGCGCACGAGGCCCAGGACTCCGGCTACAGAATGTACCGCGCGACCAAGAACGGATTTCCGTCACTGCTGACGTTGTTCAGCGCTCCGAACTACCTCGACGTCTACAACAACAAGGTGACGCGACGTTGAGAGAGCTCGCTGCGCGACTACTCGGCTGCTTCGGTCCATCAGCCTGTTCGCCGATATTTTTTCCAGGCTTCCGTGCTCAAGTACGAGAACAACGTTTTCAACATCAAGCAGTTCAGAAGCGTGCCACATCCCTACTGGCTGCCCAACTTCGCCGATGCCTTCTCTTGGTCCATGCCGTTTCTCGCCGAGAAAGGTATTTGCTCGGTTGCTTCGCGCCGTCTCCGTGCTCGCTGCCTGATCAACGTTACTCCTTTCCAGTGACAGCAGTCGGACTCGGAATCTTGAACATTTGCTCCGAGGAGGAATTGAAGTTGCAGAGTCCTACGCCAGGTAAGCCGATCCTAGAGTCGCTAGTTGTAGCCTCGTTACTAGTTTGCTTGCGAGCCGCGAGCCATCCGAAAGAGACCCAACCCAACGGCTTGCAGGGTCCAGAAGGCGCACCAGAGCTATACGCAAGAAGGTGGAAGCTATCGGGAGGATGTCGTTGACCTTCTCCATCTTGAGGTAAAAGCTTGGGCGCACGGCGCTCTCGCAACGTTGCAATCGGCGCGCGATGCTTGCAGGGAGGAGCGAGAGAGCGTTTTGCAGTTGAAGGGCCTGTCGCCAAACGGAACGCTGCCACACGGTGCTCTAGCCGACGGCAAAAACTCGCTGAAAATCGGTCGGTAAGCTCGCGAGCGGCGTCGTCGCCAACGTACCTTCCACCTAGGGCGTTCGCCTCCGTTTCAGCTGTGCAAAAGCACCGCCTGACGTTCGAGCAAGCGAAAGCTCTCGACGCCGAGAACGAGCGCGTGCCGCCTCGGCCGACCGACTCGGAGCCCACGGCTCGTGCCCAACGGGGAAGCGACCTGGCCGTCGGTGCGACTTGGCCGTCGAGGGGAACTGAAGCGTGTCCGGACCGAAACGAGTCACGATCGCTGCCGCCGGACTTCGCCGCTGGGCCTTCGTCGTCATTGGCGATGTGTTCCGAAAACGCCGACCGATCGACATCGACCACGCCGACAAAGCAGCCTGATGCGCCATCCAACGGCAATCCTAGCCCTACAGCCAAGGACGGTAATTTCGCACATTAAAGTTCAGCTATTTTCTTCGCCTTTTTTTGCCATGCCGCCTTTCTTTCGTCTCTGCTCCAACGAGCATCGTTTTTTTCTTTCAGTCAAACGACAATCGGTCTCGCCAAAATCGCTCAAAAGAACTTACAGCGACGTTTTCGAGCGTTACAATCCATTTAAGAGCACGAAAGTTGTCCCCCTAGAAAAATAGTCGTCGATCGATGCACCTGTGGCAGCTAACTCTGAGATGAGCGCGCCTGGAAATCATGAATAACGTTGAACGACGGGAAAAATCGATGTTTGCACGAACTTGACGCAAGTATTTATTGCATCGCAGCTGATGTCAAGAACCGCTGCCGCTACGAACTATAGATTATAAAGCTCCTTCGACGGATGCTGGATGTCTCTGTCATCTCTACTTTGTTGTAGTCTTGAAGAGTACTTTATCCCAGTAGGGAAGAAATCAATGTAACTCCCGCGTTGTTTCAGAGACAACTTCAGTCGTCTTAATTAAATCACTCCGAGTATTGTTGCATTCCTGTAATCATGTTCAGTGTGCGAAAAGGCACTGTATTCCTAATATTTCAAATAAACGAATAAAACGAAATACTCGCTGGTTATATCTGTCGGCCGATCCTCGCAAGAATCCTCGCAATTGCGAAGACGAGCTGCGGTAAGTTTAATGCGTGGGCTAGCCTCCCAAGCGATCAGCCTTCCAAACATCAGAAGGAAGAAGGAAGAATATTCCTAGGAATGGTTCGATTCAACGAAAAAGGATAAGAGTGTGCAAAGTAGCGGCGGGTCCATTGTCAAGAAAAAATGCTGACGTGGCATTGAGCTCGTAGTGCAGGTGAACAACCAAGCTCCGCGAGAAAATTCAAAATTTGGCGCGCTCACTGATAAACAAAGCCGCAACCGTCGGCGCCGCCTCGTGGGTCCATCTTGGCGCTCGCGGGCTCAGCACGGGGATCAGCGGCTCGCCGCGGCAGTGCTCGTCCACAGTAGGCAGCCGGGACTCTTCCAGTGGCTCGGTCGCAGCAGTCTCAGCACGCTGTCGAGCGAGTCGCGCGCACGCCTATGGCGAAGCGCATCGGCTCCACGTTCGTCGACGCGCGGAACAGCGGCAAGCGCCGATCCCTGCAGTGCTGATCAAGCGTCTGCCAGCATGAGTCTCGCCTGCAGCAGCGACGCCGGTCACGAGCAAAGCGACAGAGCACCGTTGTAAGTCACTCGGACGTCGAGACGTCGAGACGTCGGCCTGCACCCGAAATCGCGCGCTCGCGTCTCGAGCGGCACCGCGCAGGCACGAGCGAGTCGACTCGGTCGCCAGCGGCGCGCGCGACAACGATCGCGGCTCGACCGATCGGCCGCCGAGCACTTCCGGTCGCTGCGAGACAGCGACGAGTCTGCGCCACTCGCTGGCACGCGCGATGACGGGCTGGACGAACCGCGGCCGGAGCGAGCCCGATCGACCGAAACTCACCAAGACGGCAGCTCGAGCTTCGTTCTCGTTCCAGAGTAGGCAGCAGCGTCCAGTCCGAGGAGGGCCAGATCGGCGACGAGCGGTCGCCCCGTGCCTCCAAGTTGCGCAGGGTGGCCTCGCAGCTCTGCGGCGTGCTCGCCTCCGGCTGCCTCCGGTTCACTACCAGCTCCTTCACCGGCTTCCACATCATTCTCATCGCCGAGCTGCATGGCCCGAGCCCCAGCGTGCCCGTCACTCTGGATCAGCTGACTTGGTTTGGTGACTCTCGCAATATCAGCTTACCAGCGGCTTTCGCTTGCCTCGAGTCGGCCGCCGCTCGCGAGCCCTGCGCCGAACACTCACTTGAGCAACGTTTCGCAGCAAGCCTAAGCTTCCCGAGCATCCTGGGCTCGGTGGCCAACGGCTTCGTCACACAGCGCCTGGGCAGTCGGGTGGTGATGCTCTCGTCCACGCTGCTGCTCGCGACCTGCTGGCTGCTGTACCACTTCGCGACGAGCGTGACGATGCTGCTGCTCGGGCGCGTGCTCTACGCGGTGACCGCCGGCGCCGTGAAGACGCCCTCGAGCACCTACATCACGGAGATCAGCCAGGCCCACCTGCGCGGCTCGTTTCTCGCGAGCAGCCACCTGGCCGCCACCTTCGGCGCCTTCTTCTCGCTGCTGCTCGCCAGCATGGTCCACTGGCGCACGGTCGCTCTGGTCAACCTCGTCTTTCCCCTCGTCACCGCCGTGGCCGTGCTCCTCACGCCCGACAGCCCCGTCTGGCTGGCCAGTAAGTGCTCCCCCCCCCCCCCCCCCCCAACAAACCCCCAACCACCCAAACCCCCCACCCGTCCAACCCCGGACGCCGAGTGTGCGCGCCCGGCCTAACTCTGGCGCGGATTCAACGCTGCAGGCAAGGGGCGTCTCGACGACGCGGAGCGCGCGCTCTCGTGGCTGCGCGGCTGGGTGCGGCCGGTGGACGTGCGCGCCGAGTACCGCGCGCTCGTGGACAACGTGCGGCGCGCGCCGCCCGAGGAGGAGCGCGCCCCCGGCTGGTCGCGGCGCCTCCGCCGCCACTTCCGAGCCTTCCTGCGACGCTCCTTCTACCTGCCGCTCGGCACCATCTCGCTCGTCTTCGGTCTGCACTTCCTCAGCGGCGTGGCCGCCATACAGACCTACTCCGGGGTGCTCTTCGCCAAGATGCACTCGCCGTTCCGCGAGTCCATCGCCACCGCGGCCATGGGCGCCACCCGAGTCCTGGGAGCGCTCATCATCCTCTTCTGCATCCAGTGCGCGGGCAAGCGCAAGCTCGTCTTCTTCTCGCTCGTCGTGGCCGGCCTCTGTCACCTGCTCGTCGCGCTCCTCGGCTTCCTCGATCTGGAGGCCGAGTACCTGTGGGCCTCGCCGATCCTCGTAATCGTGGCGGTGTTCGCCAACGCCGCGGGCGTCGAGACCATCGTGCACATGCTCAACAGTGAGATTTTCCCAGTGTCCGTGCGCTACATCGGCTCGGCGATCGGCAGCTCGATCAGTGCCGTCATTGCGTCGATCGTCAACAAGGTTTTCCTGTACGTCGTTGACGGCATCACGCTGCCGGCTGTCTTCCTGTTCTTCGCTGTGGTCAATGCAGTCGCGCTGCTCACTTACTACTTCCTCTTTCCTGAGACCGAAGGCAGGTCGTTGAAAGAGATCGAGGATCACTTTACGGGAATTAGAGACTTGAATGAGCCTAAAAATTAATGTCCTTGTCGGTTAACTACCTCGTCAGATCTCCTGCCAAAGCATCGACGTTCCATAGCTGTGTCCAAGATTGCAAATTCTCCAGATAATTTTGCAGCAAATCTCAAGAGTTTCTTTCTTTTAATTCTCGTCTTTTATAGATCGAGCCAATTTGGCGGAAGTAATGCACAACTTATTTGTATAATGTACGAATAGAAAGGCTGCTTTCTTCAACGTTTACATTATTTCTATAAAAATTATTATATACTTGGCAAATGTCACTCGTGGCTTCTGCAAAAATCTTCGTTTTAATTGTTTCATATGTACCACCCATTCATCACTTAATGCAAATGTTTTCATTGCAAAATACCTACATTGTGCCGAATAAAAACAAAAATCGTGCTACATTTAACGTGTTACTTGACTTGATTACGTTGCACGCAATTCTAGCTCTAGCTATATATAACAGACGTGCAGGATGAACAGCAGCAAACTTGGCGCCAACGATCTCACATACATTAATTGGCATTTTTTCGGTGCGAACAAAAGCACCTATTTGCGCCTCCTAATCTCCTCACGTCTTCCTTCGCAAAGCAGTTGTCAATTGCAACATTTCAGGTGGATCGACAACTGAAGCAACAGCAGATTTTCACAGCTTCATTCCTCCAGTGGTTTTTTTATTCATCGATGCTCAATCCGCATCTATATAGCCGCTTCTACATTGATGTATTCCAAGAAAAAACATTACTTTTCTAGTTGTCATTTTCGTTGCACTCGGCATAATAATTAATATGCATTGATTCTATTTACATAACATATATATACATATCTTATGCGTGTCAGTCATTAAACATACATTGGAAAAGCACATCCCTATAATACCGATATAGCTCTTATATAGATTCGAAAATAAGCTATAAGAGTTATTTCCAAATTATACATACATTATGTTGGCAAAAACGGATTAAATAAACTTTTTTAACGTAAAAACACTTGTTGATGCCAATTTCTCTTTCGGTTTCTTTTTAATCATATTTGATTATTATAAAGGATAAGTTTTGTATTATCAAAACTATAATTGTGTTCAATCAAGAAATAAATGATTTCTTATAAATAACGTCCCCCCTATCACTGCCAGTCTACCTTTTGACCAACCAACAAACAATCTTTTTCATCCATACAGCTGTTATTTATATATTTATACTTTAATGCACATATATACAAAGTGGTGCTTCGCCCTGTACATTTATACGTTACATATTTATTCGAACGTCGCTCGTATAAAAGTTGGTCAACTTATCTACATCATTTGACTGCGGCGGGATTTTATTCTATAACTTTTAGTACGCCTACGGTGCATATATGCTTAATTCTTTCTTAATTTATTTCTTTTATTGAAATGAACGTGGGTCTTACCTTGAGACGCTGATATACCAAAATTCATATGTGTTATATATAAAAATAGATTATAATAAAGAATTCTAGATATTGCTTTTGATGGATTTTTAGGCATTATAGTTATAATAAATTTGGTTGAGTTATAAATAAAGAGAGTAAAGAAAATTACAAAGGTACAGGTAAGGTAGAATGTTAGTATTCCAACAGTAATAAAGGGATGTTTAAAATAAATGATTCAGGTTCTCTGGTAATTTGGTTAAATCATGACTTGACAATATTGCGGATAAATGCTAAAATGAGTTTTGTGAAACTACTATGAGGGTCTCTAAATATGAATTCTATATAGAATAGGAGATATGTTTTTCAGTTTTTTTGTTGAATCTGTTTATTTCTTTTAGCAAAGGAAACCTCTTGTCTGCATAATTGGGACAGTTCTGCATAAAATGATTAATATCTTGTTCCATTGAATATATTTATTCTTATGAACATAAAGCTGTACTTTCCATGTTTTTCCTTTGCAGACTAGCCGCAAGGGTTGATTTGATTCTATTGATTATGGAGATGTCAGTTCTTTGAAGTGGACTTGGTAAACCAGGGTTTGGATTACTTTTTAAAAAAAGTACTTAAAATAGTAGATTACTTTATATGAGCTTCGATTTAAGATGAGCACATTTGTATCGTCTTTAATATTTTTCATTAGTGTTTCTTGGAAGTCTGCGTATGGAATCATGATTATTGTAAGCATTCCTTTGATATAAGCTTCTTTAGCAAGCTTATCTACATTCTTATTATGAGTGACTTGTATATGTGCAGAAGTCCAGCATAGTTTCACATCTGTTTTGTAGTCCCAGAGAGTGTGAGAAATTGATTTTGTCCAGAATATGTGAAGAATTTTTACTTTTAATTGGAGAAATGTTAGCAATTCCTTCGAGGACACTTAATGAATCTGTAAAAATGATTGTTTTTGGTATTGACAAGGATTGTATTTGTAGTATAAAGAAAGTAAAATGGCAGTAGCTTCTCCTGTAAAAATATGTGCTCTACGATTGATTTTGTAGTGTTTTTTTTGGTTTACTGAAGGTATATATATTTATTAAAGTTTATATATTTGATCAAAACCTGGTGAAGACTTGACTTTGGTTGCATCTATTACTAATTCTAATTATCTTTAGGTGAATAGTTCGTCTAGCCATTAAGTTGAATTACCATTTGTTTGATAGTTCAGAGGAGGAGTAAGGTTTTGGTTTGTACTTTGTTCACAGTGTTCTAACATGAATTTTATGCATTAGCAGTATATCAAATGCCATAACATATATAAAAGTTTCGATATAACAAATTTTTTAATGTTAAATTACATCTAGTAGTATTTTAACCTAAAATTATGACGTGCAGATAATTATGCTCCAATTTATAACACACATAAATTATTGTACATAGTAACATGCATAAGATTTGATACATATTGATTCATGCCACGTTATTTTGCACAATAGTTTATATGTACATACAATAAAACCATGTACAATTGTCTGCAAGCCAAAATTATGCATAGTTAATACCTAATACATTACATACATAACTTCAATTACCTTTCGTTCCTTGTCACTCCATTTATCTAAACATAAAAATATTTTAAAACATAATCTTGCAGATCAAGAATATTAATAAAAAGAGGTTTGCATTACGATAAAATATGTATATTATATTATATGACAGTTGATTGTATTACAGCATTTATATATATATAATTAAATATACAAAATAATTTTATTTTATTTTACAATAATTTAAGAAATATAAACATTTGCTATCTAGGTCCCTTAAATTTAATCGATTCGATAAATAATCAATCACAGAATCATCAATAATACTGAAAACGCTGATGAATAAAAAAATATTTAGGATAACATCTATTAGTATCTAATAGAAAGAGTATAAGTAAGTACAATTATAATCTATTAAACTATTAATAATTAATAATAGTGAATATTATTGAATATGAATGAACTTATATGACTCTTTATCATTATAAAATCCATTAATTTTTATTAGTTCTTAATTGTCTCGTTTTGTCTTACATTCTTAATATATTTCAATTAACGCTTGGAAAGGACAGATTCACGTTAAAAATGGTTGGTTTTTTTTAATAATTTTGAATACATTATTTTTTGCAGGGTAGTAAACGTACGTGATACTAAGTGTATTTAAAAAAGCTCGATTAACAGGTGATAAATTATAAATTACTTGCATTCATTATTTGTTACTTATCAAATACCATATCAAGTAATTAACCTCCCTCAAATTTGAACTTTGAACTGAAATCGCTGTTTACGAAATCAAGTCAAACAGCTGTATGTAAGCATCGTCACTCCTCCCCCGCCTTCACTCCTACCACAGAATCAATATTATTTTTAATAGTTAATAAACCGGAAATTAAGAAAATTGAATTATATTTCCCAGCACTCGATTTTGATTATTTATTATAAAGGTAAGTAAGCTATGCTCGAATAATTTTTTTAGCACATTCGTGACGCACAGTTCTTGTACAAATTAATGAGTATAAATTGAATAATCACATTAATAAACAGGTGTCTAGTTCGCAGAGTTCTTATTGTGAAGGACCGAGGCTGCCGACTGATGCAACGGCTGCGTCCGCACCCACTGCTGCTCTCAGAAGTTCCAAAATTCGAATAGAAAAATAAAATGGCTGTACTATAGTCTCTGAAAGAACATAACCTTACTCGACGTTCATGTGGTTATAAGCGACGCGTCACCGTTTATCTGAGGAATTTTAAGTAATGAATAAACATAAATATCGTGTTTTTTTATCTGAACTTTCTATGATTTCATAGAGAAAACAGAGATTTATCCAACAAGATACTTCAACGTTTGAATAATTCATGATATGTGTTAATTTTCATCTTTGTTAGTAAACACTTGTCACACTTGTATTGTATGTTTTGTAAAGAATTCAAAATATACTGCTAATTCGAATATAATACAAATTTTCATTTGTTTAAGATTCATTTTTTTAATGAATTTAAAAGATTTAATTAATTTATTTAATTTAATTTTTAATTTACTTAAAAGAAATATAATTAATTTCTTAAAACTGTGCAGGACTTTACAGTTCAAAATGGCAGCTCTTGATTTGGACCCTCAGTTTGTTCAAGCTATTAGACTGGTCCACTCTCCTAATAAGGAATCTGTTGAACAATTGCGTAATTTACTTGATGAAGCCATTAGGCAAAAGTATGGAGCTTCAAAAATGTTGTCTAATACACTGCATAAAAAGGTATTAATATAAGACGCTGTTATATAGCAAAAACAATAGTTTCCAATATTTCTTTTGCTTGTTGGTAGTATATAATGGAAGAGCAAGTACTGAGTGACCAAAGCAGTACTAGCAGTAGAAAGAGTAAAAGTTCTAATTCATCTAAACACTCGAGATCTAGTAAAAACAATTCTCCTGTGACAACTCTAAGAGAACCGACTCCAGATCCATTACAGACTGATGATTTAGCTGATCTTTTGGGTGATGTTGCTTGTGTTATATGCAAAGGGATGGATGTTGGAGCAAAGAATAGATTGGTTGAATGTGAAAACTGTCATAATTTATACCATCAGGAATGTCATACTCCACATATTCTTGATTCACAGGTGGACAACAATGTAGAGTGGTCTTGTTGTAATTGTGTGAAAATTCAACCAGTTAGTATATAACTGTAGTCTTCTTAAGAAGTAATATAATAATGTGTACTATTGATTAAATTATATTTTAATTTTTTTAGACCAAGGAAAGAAACTCTCCTAAAACTGTTGAAAGTAAAACAAGGGAATCCAAAAAGTCATCTTTATCTAGTGAGTTAAATAAAATATATTTGACTGCTCTTTGTGAATGGACAGCAATAAAAAAGTTTCATAATATGAGATTTTAATAAAAAAGGCATAATTCCTTTCTAGATTCAAAACATTCAGACAAATATAAAGCATCCAGTTCATCAAACCAATCGCAAAGTACCAATGGGAGTACTTCTAATTCTAAATTAGTGCCAAATATTCATATAGTCAGTGCAGACAGAAGATTAAAAGATATGATAAAGAAGGCTAAGCAGGACAAGAGAGGTAGAAGTGGTACTTCTGGAACCAACAAACATTCCTCTAGTTCATCCAAAAGCTCGCATGACAAGAATTATAGAAATAAGTCGGATTGAAAAAGCTCTGACCGATAGCTTTTGTTAGACACATTTTATACTTTCAAATACAACATTTATGAATAGATTTTCTTGCAAAATGTAAATTTATAAAATTAATTGTAAAGATGAATTTTTCTGTAAATATTAGAATACAACAGCTGGGTAACAGTTTTAAATGATATAAAGAATATAAATAAAATGTTATATTTACATTGAGAGTGATTCGGAAAAACATTTTAATTAGATCTTGAAAGAAGTTTAGTTAAGCCATTAATTTGAAAATGAAATGCAAGTCCTTAGAAATTCATCGTATTTCAGATAATAGTGCTTGAAATAACTCATCGACGAATTATTTATTGAGCTGTTGTCTAGCCGACACTGTGATTGTAACATAAATTGATGCGGTTTTCAAACAACCGGAAAGTATTGTAAAAGGCAATAATCATTGAGAGCTTTTACCCGGTGCGTGATCCAGAAATAATAAAATGTCATCTAGTTCGAAGAATACGCTCGCAAAATTTTCAACGTAACGCTATTGAAATAAATCCAAGGTGAACAAAACCGTTTCTCCCTTATGAATTTGTTCGCGATAATTCTCCCACATTATCGTGCCGACAAATCCTTTCTTTTCCGCCCCTCAACAACTAATCTTTCATGGAGTTTTCTTGCCGTCAAGCCTATATCACTTTATACCTCTTGTAATTAACAAGAGAAAGAGAGAGAGAGAGAGAGAGAGAGAGAAATAAGCTCGTTCGTTAAACCGGATCGGGATATAAAAAAAGCAGCTCGGAGAATTCGAGCGATTTAATTAACGGGCGCGCGCTCGCTCTGGCACATTATTTACATGCGCGTCATTTCAAACCTCGGTAATTCACGCAATCTGCATTCCCGGAGAAAATCTGCATAACGAACCATGACTTTTCTTTTTTAATTAAAAAGCTAAGACAAGAGTGCGCCCGGAAGAAGTTCGCGGTTGACAGAGCGAGATGAACGTAGGTTATTTTTCAGGCTGAAACAGAAAATTGCATTTATGCGCGCAACGACAACTGTGAATTAATCCTCGGTGAGACGGCGTCACAATGTTTCGCGTTATTGTTTAAACACAATGGGACATGCTGGGGGTTGAGGTCTTAGCTTTAGTGAAGGGAGAGTTGGAAACGGCATTAATTATCGATTTTTCGCGAGCGTGCGGAAGTAATCCCTGGCTTGACAGTCTCAAGCTTGCGCGCGCCGAGCTTAACGTAATTTATCAAGGAGATGAATTAACGCTCTCTATCTTGCCGCTCTCTCTCCCTCTGCACAATGAGTTGCGCGATATTCAACGACGGCGACGGCGTCTGAACTCGGACGAGGAAAGCTTTTTTCGTTAATCCTCGTGGCAATTTGTACGACTTATTCCTTCTCTCTGGTTAAACAGCAGCATGACCTGGCGTTGAAAGCTTTCCATCATATAAATCCGACAGCTTTCAGTCGCGCATACGCAAACATGCAGGAGCCGGCGTGTTTCGATTAAAATAGAAGCGCGTTATAACAAGGCAATTACGCGGGACGATTATTACGGCAAGTAGTGCAAGTATTCGTCGCACGCTGCGGAAAAACAATCGTTGGCCAATAGAAAAGCGATCGAGTGTTTGTTTGTAATGTCGAAGAAAACAAGAGACTTGGATTCTTAAGCAAAGAACGAGAAACTCAAGGCACACGACGAAAACATTTCTCGCGAGGCATCGCTGCAGAGCGGTGAAAACTTTTCAACAAGATATTCACGCACGCGAATCATAAAAACCCATTGAAAAGTTGCGAGGTAGAGAGCTCTTTTGTCGCGATGGGCGTGTGCAAGCCTTTCTCGTGCACAACTTGGAAAAAAGCGAGCTCGCGCAAGCTCTTCGACGTTACAGCGAATATACATTCATTTTTTTCGTTTCGTCCAGATTCGATATATCCTCTCACCACAATAACAGACACTCGCTTTTGTCGTGCAATAACCTGGAAAAAAAGGAGAGTGAGAGCGGACGAGGGCTCGTGGAAAAAAGCCATCATCGCGAAGTGCTGCACATTTTTCAAATAATTGGCTGTTCCAAGAGGACACACTCGTGGGATCGAGGACTATCGTCATCAAGCGATATGAGAGAGGCCGAGTGTAGTAGTCGCAGGGGTCGTCGCTGCCTGTACATATCTTCCTACGCACAAAGGGAAAAGGGCTACGCGTGTGTGCACGCTGGGGAGGGGCTGCGAATAAAAAGGAGAGAGAGGAGCGGGAGAATAAAGCAGGAATGACATGAGAAATGGAAAAGTCAAGAAAAGTCAAAAAGCCTCGTTTATAATACTAATATATTTGTCGCAATTCTTCAGAATGGTAAAAAAAACAGAAAAACAAGGAAAAGAGTCCGGGAAAATTCTCGCTTGATTGCTCCCCAATTTGGCAAAAGTCACTCGATGTGGGTGTGCGGCGCTGGCGTTATACATTACACCCACACACGTGCTCATACGCACGTACACAGACACATAGTTGGGACATACCAATGCGCGAGAGAATGGAGGATGAGAGAACGAAAGAGAGGGGAGAGAGAGAGAGAGACGAACAGACACAATCGGAGGAAGGGGCGCGTCGTTCTTATCGCGTTCTCGATTTCCTTGCAGCGTATTTTTCTCTCACTCTCTCTCTCTCTCTCTCTCTCTCTCTCTCTCTCTCTCTCTCTCTCTCTCTCGAGTAAAGTGCG